ATATCGAATAGTATGCAGTTTCGTGGTCACTTGGAAGGGAAGGCCAAATTGGCCTCTAAAAAGCTTGGCGTGCTCAACAGAGCGAGAGAATATATCATGCCGGCACATCGCTAGCAAATTTATAAAGAGAAAGTTCGACCTCACATGGAATACTGTTCTCATCTCTGGGCCTGGGCACCTCAGTGCCAACTCCTTCTACTTGACCGCATCCAGCGCAGAGCGATTCAAATCGTCGACGATCGAGTTCTTTGTAATCGGCTCGATCCACTCGCGCTGCGTACAGATGTTGCGTCCCTTTGCATTTTCTATCGCATCCACCACGGAGAGTGCTCTGAGGAATTGTTTGGATTAATCCCAGCAGCCAAATTTCACGAACGTACATCAAATCGTTCTCGAGTGGCAGCCTCGTACCGGTAGACGAAGTGTAGGGCGACCCCCCACTAGATGGAGTGACGACCTGGTAAGACATGCAGGAAGTCGATGGATGCAGGTGGCTCAGGACCGAGCTTTGTGGCATACCTTGGGGGAGGCCTATGTTCAGCGGTGGACTTGTAAAGGGCTGTAATGATGATAATGATGTACATCAAAATTCAAGATACCATACTCACCATCTGGATGCTTGGTGGTCCACTACTGTGCATTTTACTAGGACTTTTCTTCTCTGTGGAATTGTTTACCACCGGCGTTTTTTCGGACTAAGAGAATTTCAAGAAAAGAGCCCACTCATTTTTAAAAGGTCGGCAACGTATCAGCAAGGGAATCCTTGGTGATGCGGTTGATCATGGGCGGCGGTAGTCACTTACCATCAGGTGAGCCGCATGCTCGTTTGCCCCCTCTTCGACAAAAAAAAACTTTTATGACCTCTATAAAGTGCATATAATTTTATACTAAGTATAACATTCTATTTTGCAAATATAAGTAATAAAGTATAGCTAGGATTTATTAAAAAAACTTAAAAAGTCACGGGTATTAAATACAAATGTATGACTAATTTAGTCTACGCAGTCAGTGTACAGAATTGTTTTGTAGACCTAACGTAAGACAACTAGTAAACCTATTTTGCAAATTTATCTTTTTTATAAAATAAAAACTGAGACGAGTTGTCGACTCAAGGAAGGAATGTCCTAGTTATCAGTATAAGACATCTTCGGTTCTCGTTATTCACCGGACGAAGACCAAAAGCATAATGCTGCTATTTACGCTGGTAGCCTGTGCGACCGTGGTACTTTAAAAAAATTATTTATAACAATAGAATAGATATGTACATGGGTTAAATCAATTTAACTTGCAAAAACCGTGAAGTTTGTCCGCAAGTTACAGTCTCACACATAACGTAAGGCAATAAATAGTACAATCACATACAAACACCTAATACAATCATCTAATCGATGGCTGCTTACAAACAGTAACAATAATATTAAGTAGGTACGTATGAAATGTTATGAACAATAAATTTACAACACACCGTAATTGCAAACATAGAATACCTACTTAGAATACATACATAATAGAACGGGGGAGTGGGCGGAGCGCGCGTAGCCACTAAAATGTCACTAACACGTCAATTCACACGTATAAATGTTAACACGAGATGTATTTTGACGTTACAATCGTTTCCAAATTTTATCCAAAATTGCACCCTATTTACAAATAAATATGTATTAAAATTTAAACGATTTTTTTAAATGATGATGTTGAACATTAGTCAAAAATTTAAAAAATTCAGTCTATCAACACAGCTAATCGGGTTTGATGACGCCAAAACTCGTACAAAAAGAAGTTGACAGCCATTCTATTGTGTATTATACTTGTATACCATATAATTTTAAAATAAATATATAGGTTTACTAGTTGTCTTACCTATATTACACTTACAGTATAAAATTATAAATATCAATATTTATCATATGCATAGACGTAGAAATAATAATATGGTTTTTTCTTTCGATCAGAAAATTAAACTAGTTAGTTATAACTGTAAATCTGTCATGAGGTCAGTGGATGGGGTAAGAGAGTTATGTAAGTCTGCACACGTGATTGCTTTGTAAGAGACTTGGCCTTTGCCCCATGATGTCACATTTATTGGCACCATTGACGAAGATTATGAATTCACAAGCAAATCTGCGTTAGACACTTCGGACGGTATTCTACGCGGGCGTCCGTACGGCGGCGTCGCGATAATGTGGAAGAAGGGTTTATTTTCATCTGTGGAAGTCGTCCCATGTAACAGTGTGAGGCTTGCGGCGATCAAATTGAGTGTAGCAGATCGATGTTCATTAGTATTTTCTGTGTATATGCCGGTAGATAGTGTGGATAATTTGAGTGAATTTAAGGAGGTTTTAAGCGAAATTAAAGGCCGTAATCGAAAGTAGTGAAATAGAATCCATTTTCTTCTCGGTGATTTTAACGCTCATCCAAAAGAACAGTTTTTCACTGAACTAATGAATTTTTGTGAAGAGCGAAGTTGGCTCTGTGCTGATGTGATCAAGTTGGGATTATCTTCTAATACTCACACTTATGTTAGTAAAGCGCATAAATGTACGCGATGGCTTGATCATTGTCTCGCTACTGAGGCAGCTTGGCAATGTGTAAATAAAGTAAAGGTTAATTATGACGTATACTGGTCGGATCATCTACCATTAGAAGTGTATTGTGAGCTAGCTAGGTTGCCTCCTAAAATGAAAATGATATGTAATACAAACCCTTGTAATGTGATAAGATGGGGGGAAAGGAACAGCGAACAAATAAATTATTATCACGATATTTGTAATAGAAAATTAAAAACAATCGATCTCCCTGAGGTATTTAGATGTTGCGCTGATCAAATATGTAGTAATGTGGATCATAAAGCACATATTGATATTTTTTATAGCTCTATTATTAAAGTATTAAAGGAAGCTGCAGTAGATAGTTGTAAAGTAGGTTGTAATAAAAGAAAAAATATAGCGGGGTGGAACAGGCATGTAAGGGAGATACGAAATGAAGCTCGACTCTGTTACCAGATGTGGATCCTACACGGTAAACCTACATCTGGCGTTTTGTATGAAAACATGTGTGAGACCAGAAAGCGTTTCAAGTCTCGACTTATGTGGTGTCAAGGTAATTAGACACAAATTAAACAGGACATTTTGGCCAAACAACATAAGTGAAAAGACTGAGCGTTCTGGAAACACACAAAAAAGTTTAATACAGAGTTATGCGTCCCAGCTAGTATCCAGGGCCAACATGAGGCAGGTAAGATAGCTGAATTATTTAAAGATATTTTTAAGGTTCAATCTTCGATTGCGTCAACGCAGCAGGTGCTTAGTGCTGAACAAGAATTAAGTGGTGAATATCACCGTATTAAAACTGAGGATATAGCTTGTGTAATAAGTGGGATGACTAGGGGTAAGTCTCCTGGTCACGACGACCTCAGCATTGAGCACTTGCAACATGCGGGTGTGCACTTGCCAAGGGTGTTAACTCTATTATTTAATCTATGTCTAGGACATGCGTACTTACCTGGAGAGCTTATAAAAACCATGGTTGTACCATTATTAAAAAATAAGACTAGTGATACCTCCGTTGGGTCCGATTATCGCCCAATATCTTTAGCTACCGTAGTTGCGAAGGTTCTGGACAGTTTCCTTGATCAGCAACTCAGCCAACACATTCACCTACATGAGGCTCAGTTTGGTTTCAGGCCGGGGCTTTCAACTGAAACTGCCATACTGCGACTCAAGCATACTGTCCAGTATTACACTACGCGAAAAACGCCGGTTTACGCGTGTTTCTTGGACCTGTCGAAGGCATTTGACCTGGCTTCGTACAATGTGCTATGGGATAAACTTAACCAGGAAACTAGCACACCCAAAGAGGTAATTAACCTCTTCAAGTATTGGTATCACAACCAAGCTAACTGTATGAAGTGGCCTGGCTCATATTCATCGGAGTACAGGTTGGAGATCGGGGTGAGGCAGGGCGGCCTTAGCTCCCCTCAACTTTTCAACCTGTACATCAACGGTCTGATCGTGGAGCTCAGTGATGCCGGAGTCCGCTGCTCAATTGACGGTCATTTTGTTAATAATATAAGCTATGCCGATGACATGGTTTTGCTGAGTCCTTCGATCAGGGCCCTCGAAACGCTAGTGGGCATCTGTGAAAGGTACGCGGCGGCTCATGGTCTCAAATATAATTGTAATAAGAGTGAACTACTCGTGTTTAAGTCTGGAAATAGAAAATCTAAGTCTGTTCCTCATGTTAAACTTGGAGGAGTTACACCGAGTAGAGTCACCGAATTCAGATATCTGGGACACTGGGTCGCCGAGGATCTTTCTGACAATTTAGACGTTGAACGGAAACGTAGAGCGTTGGCAGTGAGGTGTAATATACTTGCCCGCCGGTTTGCTAGGTGTACGAATGAAGTTAAGATAACGTTATTCAAAGCATTACTTGTCAGACATTCTACACCTGTAGCCTGTGGACGAAGTGTACTCGCCGAATTCTCAATGCGCTACGTGTTCAGTACAACAATGGATTCAGGATGTTGTTGGGGCTGCCACGCTTTTGCAGCGCATCGCGTATGTTTTCTGAGGCACGCGTGGACAGTTTTGCAGCAATATTACGCAAAAGAATAGCCTCCATAATGCGTCGCGTGCGAGACAGCACCAACGGCCTCATAGCTTCCATATATGGAAGGCAAGATTGCCCGGTAATGAGGTACTGGAACACAGTGCATATGGGTTCCAGACCCAATATGTTTAATAATAAATAATAATTTTTGTGTAGTTATAATTTATGTATTTTGTGAATTTACTAACCCCTAGATTTTAAGTTTTTAAGTTTTAAGTGTACTAACAAAATGAAATAAAATTATTATTATTATAGTATTCTATGATTGCAAAGCACCGCTGTGAACGGGCCGTATGGACAGAACTTACTACTTCTCTGGTCGAGCACGCTACAGCGTCTCTCTTATATTTATAGTCAAGATAAACATTTTACGTATCACAAATACAATTTTACTTACGGCCGGTATAGCTGTAAAGGCCAGCTGGCGATGAGCGAGGTCTGTAGCCCGACGCAGTGGACGTTGTGGACAACGTGGACGGAGAGCGTTTTAGCCCTGCCGACCCCGCTTCTGCTCCCGCGGCACCCGACGGCCTCCGAGTTCGCGGTTGTCGTTTTGACCCAGTCCTGCATACACCTGATACCATTTTAACATTTAATCTTAAGAATATTAGAAGTATGGCCTAAAATTACTTGTTTAGGGCCTGGATGTTAGTTCACGTGGAATGTAATGAGTGTGAACACCCATTTATCCGACTGGAGTGAAAAAGACCTGAATGGGCACAGACTGAGGAAACGTAAATGATTATGGCTTATAGATTTATTAATAGAATAAAAGTATTTTTACGTTCGTAGTCGTAGTAGAATCTAGTTACTTGTTGTGTACAAATTGTTTAAATGTTTTGCAATATTTATGGGTACCCCAAATGGGCTGTCCACAGCTAAATACATATATGTTTTATTTTATTATATTTAAAAAATATATGATTGTTTGCACATTATGTCAAATAATTAAATATTTCGCGGGAATTGCACGTATAAGTGGTATAAGTCTGGTTTCACACCAAATTGCGTATCTGACACAACCCGTATCTGACATACGTATCGTGAACGGTAATATCACGATACAAGTAACCTGTTACACTTATTCTTGTTAAACGCACTGACTTTCGGATATATAAAAATATACTAGTATCTGAACCATATAATTGCATTGAAAAACATACGTACATACAAGCACATGCACGAATTTTCCGGACCAATACGACTTAAAGACCTTCAAGAAAAGAGCTAACACTTTTACAAAATGCCGGCAACGTGATAGTCACTTACCATCAGGTAAGCCGCATGCGCGTTTGCCCCCTCTTACATATTACAAAACGTTGAAAATGTGTGTAATTTTTATTGGTCTTACTAATATGTACTTATATAATATTATAAATACGACAAAAACGTTGTATATTTACCTAAATAAAATAAATAAATAAAATACAAATATGTCCATACAAATACAACTGTTGTGGATTGTCGACGACTGAGGTCTTTCTGATCGGCATGACTCACTGGCACTGCTAGGAGATATTACGTATTTTTGGATTTACTACGGGGAGTGCTCAGAATCCACAATATTATCCACACTATCTCCATGCTTAATGGTCCACCACCGTGCAATTTACTAGAAGTTTTCTTCCCCGCCTTCGTTGTGGAATCGACTACCACCAGCGATTTTCCAACCTTATAGGAACCTTCTTGAGAAAAAAATCCCATGCTTTTTTTAAAGGCTTTCAATTCCACTGGTAATGAAGTTGCTCAGAGGCGGCGGTAGTCACTTATCAGCAGGTGAGAAACATGCTCGTTTGCCCTATCTTATATAGCCAACTCCTTATTTAATTACATTTTTACAAATTTTTTAAAATAGTGACAATTAAATCTTAATTGTTAGTTTAAATACAAGTATTAAAACTAAAAAGTTGAATACTCATTTCATAAAAAACAACGTGAACGATGTTACCGGTGGGACACTGCCGCCCCATGGCGCACTTGCCCTCGCAGATTGTCTTCTGCTTGAGCATATCTTGATAAGAGTCCAACATCACTCGGCACTCAGCTAGATCACTGTCGGCTAGTGCTAGTGAAGGGTACCTCTCTTTCAGACGTCTTCTTTCCTATGATAAAAGATATTTTCGATAACATTAATGCCTGTTAAGCTAAGCTATGTTTAAAACACTTATTAAAAAGATATTAGCAAGTCTATTACATTACCAGTTTTGCCGTTAATTCCTATTTTGTTCGAAATTAGTGCACCCTACTCGTTAATCTTATTTTTATTTTTATTAATTTCCTGTTCAGGGTTGTCTGGAAGAGATTGCTATGTAGCAATAAGACCGCCTTTTGTCTTTCCCTCATTGTTTGTTCATTATTTGTTATATTTATGTTTCGTTGGTGTACAATAAAGAGTACTGTATTGTACTATATACGTAAAGTACATCTATTGTGAACACCAGTATTTGAAGCTTAAACCGGTAGGACAATAGCATAACAGGCAAAAAAAATCCTTTTAAAAAAATAACGCCAAAAACATTCTGGAGCCTCGTACAAAATGTTTTAATGGCGTCGATTTTTGTCGCAACATCTCCTTTCACTTGGCTCCATATTAACTTCAAGTCTAACCCTACATATTTAATGATGTGGGGAAAACGTATCACCAAGGTTATAAACTGAAAGTGCGTGTGCTACGAGCGGTTTACGACACTAGAATAATGGCTGATACGAACCCAAATTAATCAATATAGCAATACTCTCACATGTACAAATTGCCACGGATCGTCCGAGTAGCATGGGATATGTCATCTGGATTACACAAAGCGCGGTAAGTAAAGGTATTTTTATAGGATAACGATGACAAACACACAGTCCACTTGATAGTGGATACTGTGGCCCATGGACATGTACTTCTATCTGCGATTAAGAATCAAAATGCAGATGCGTTGTTACCCCTGAGGACTAAAATAGAATGCCTAGTTTCTAGTAAAAAGGGTCTCCGGTTATCTACATTTACCATACGAAACACAGCGGCATCAAGCTACTATATTACACTGGTATTCTGTGAAAGCGTGCTCCTTCCCCGGTCGAGCCGACCCATTCGTGCTATAACTACGAGCATAATATGGCTGCAGCATAGCTCTACCACGTATAAAGTAAATATCTTGCTCTTTAAAACCTAAAAATGAGATATATATATGATGATATATATATGTGATGATGATGATGTAAAACCTAAAAATGAGAGTGAGAAGATCTGTACTTAGCAGCGGATGATATTTTATAACATTATATATTTAATGGACTAATATTTAATGAAACTTCACGATTCGAATTAATTTATACTAGACTAGAAACCATGGCACTGGTATTTTCAAAAAATAAAAATAAAATTTTTGAATTCAATAAATAAATTAATTAACATGTATGAAAATTCAAATCATATCCACCCTAATTTACGAACGGCAATAAAACAATAAAAGGCATCTTTGATTTGGTCACTTCGTAAGGTCACAGGCTCAAGGGCAAAGGCCAAAGTAATTGTTCAAAAATATTTTTTTCAAAAGTTTAATTCAAAAACTTTGTTTTTATTTTATGTAAAATATTAGTGCCACAGGCTTTTATCCGTTCACATGTTACACCCTATTTTTTTCAGAGGGTAAAAAAGGTCATCGAGTATATGTAATTCCAAATAGTTTGTGTAGCCGCTGTCCCGACGGAATCACGGCTGATGTAAGAATGATTATTTACAAATAATATGGTATTTTTGAACAGACAGATTATGAATAACATTTGCAGATACAATGTAAAACGTATCTGCAAATGTCTACGTATCTGCAAATGTCTACGTATCTGCAAATGTCTATGTGACTACGAATATAGTCTAATAAAATGTGTAATACCTCAACTAGTTTATAAGTTTCAAAATCCTGTAACTGACGCTGGAAGCCCATGTTGGGATTTGCTACTGCGCGTCCAGCCCTCACCACCTTCAAAGCTTCGCGCCACGTGAGAGGTGTCACCGACATAATGTATGCGACAGCCACGGTCACGCTCCGTGACATTCCTGCTAAGCTGTAGTAAATTTTTTGGCATTAGAATGTTAAAGTAATTGACATCTTATGAAAGTCTTATCTAGATTAAAGTTATATATACCTAGGCTAAGGTTAAAAAACATGAAGATCAGCTGGTATTAGATGTGACTGGCGTGACGATTTAGGCATGTTGTTCCTCAAATTGAAGAAATATTTTTGTTAATTTTTTAATGATCTTGTTCCTTATCATCAGCTATACACATCTTCATCCGTCACTGGGTATAGATACTTATTTAGTATTTCTCATACTCACGCGGATAACACACGTCAAATATAATAAATTATCACTCGCTTCGCTGGGCGCACGATAATAGACGGTAATAACGTAGATATAAAATATTAAGATTTTTTATGGGACTATCGTAAAATGCCTTCTTCGTGAGTACCTACATTGCGAAATGTATAACTCATAATCTGTGGTATAACTATAGTCCGTTCGCGTTAAGAAAATAGTGAGTCATCGTTGTCCGCCGGCCTGGCCACGCCCCCCAGCCAATTAAAATGCAAGAAATTAGGGAGTCGAGTTCACAGTGACCAGTTGAAGTTAGGCCTTCGAAATCGCCCCACAATATAATAAATATTTAATAGATGAGACTGCCAAAAGTAATGGCATTACAATTCTGCGCCTACCGCCTTACCATTGCAAACTTAATGCAATTGAATTGGTTTGGGCCCAAATAAAAAATTATGTTGGTGCCAATAACTCCACGTTCAAAATGAGTGACATAAAAAAATTATTAGATGACGCAATAGCATTAATAGACGCTAATCGTTGGAAGAAGTGCTGCGACCACGTGATGCGCGAAGAAAATACCATGTGGAATTTGGATGACATCATGGAACTTGCAGAAAAAAATTCTTTCATAATTAATGTAACTGGAGAATCTACCGATACTGCTTAGTGATTTAAGTAATTTTAAGAAAATTTGTTTCCATTAAACTTAATTAAATGTTTTAAAAAAAAAGAGTTTTTACTTCACTGTGTATACATCTTTACCCTATAGTTGCACTGATGACTCACTATTTTCTTAACCCGAACGGACTATATATATATATATATATATATATATATATATATATATATATATATATATAGGGTAAGTCCGGGGGAGTTGGCCGTAAGGAAGAGATGACCACTAAAAAAAAAATCATAGTTACACTTACTAGATGGCACTACTTTCTCGTTAGTTCAATTTGTGCTGTGCGTGGGAACGACATTTCGCTCCATCTCCGGTGAAAAAAAATCGAAAAAGTAAGTAAAATGTACCTACATTTATTTGTATATAGCCTAAAGTTTTCAAAGGGTTTACGTTATATAGTGTGGTGAAAAGACATCATAAAAAGTAAGTGCTTTTTTTAAGTTAAGTGCTCAGTTAATGACCAACATTTTAACATAACCTCAAAATGGCGCGTGGGTTGTTTATATTTTTTACACACAATGTGTGGCCTTCTATCCCGGATGATTAGGAGAGATGGCCATACATAATCGGTATGAGATGACCATAAGGCCATCTCACACCTACCAAATATGTAATGCGTAATGGTGAAAGTTATATTATTATAACTTGATATATTTTTCTTTATTTATGGTGCTATTATACTTATTTGGTTTTAGTATTTCATATCACAATATTTTATTTTTAGATGCCAAATAAATACCAAAGAAAAGCATGCAGCTCACGAGGGAACTGGAGTGAAGAGTCACTTAAGGCGGCCATGGACGCTGTTAAAAAAAGGTGAAATGACTATCTACGCAGCTTCAATAACCTATCAAGTACCAAGGAAGACCCTCGAAAGGCGATACAAGAAAAATAATGACAAAAAAGGACCAATGGGACCATCCTCTATATTCGGCGAAAAGAATGAGAAGAAACTCGCTAACCATATTAAAACTATGCAAAAAAATGGTTTCCCATTGACTATTAATGACGTCAGAAAGATTGCGTACCAGTTCGCGGAGCAATTGAATTTAAATCACAGATTTAATAGAGAAACTGAGAAAGCAGGATATGACTGGTTGCAAGGTTTTTTACGAAGAAACCACGATATTACATTAAGAAAGTCAGAAGGAGTATCTTTAGCTAGATCAACTGCTATGAATAAACTGGAGGTTGACGCTTACTTTGAGCTTCTTGAAAGCATATTGACAGTAGACGATGGTGTGTTGAAACCGAGTTGTATCTTCAACATGGACGAGACTGGTCTTCAGCTTAATAATCGACCAGGGCATGTTCTAGCTGAAAAGGGTACCAAGGCTGTATCTACAGTTACTTCGACTGAAAAGGGAGAAACGATTACAGTTATAGCCTGCTGCAATGCTGAAGGTACATTTTTACCACCTGCCTGTATCATGAAAGGCAAAAACAAAAAACCTGAGTTTGAGGATGGGATGCCACCGGGATCGAAACTTTTCATGTCCCCAAAATCAGCGTACATTACCTCAGATTTATTTATTGAATGGTTGAAAACACATTTTGTTCCGAGGAAACCAGCTGGAAGAGTACTTCTTTTACTAGATGGTCATTCAACTCACTGTAATTCTGTGGAAATGCTGGAATATGCAAAGGACAATGACATCACCTTACTTTCAATGCCAAGCCACACGTCTCACTACCTCCAACCACTAGATCGTACGGTGTTTAAATCACTGAAGACTCATTTTTACGAGCAGTGTCGACTTTGGCTAAAACAAAATCCTGGACGTCGTATAACACGATTATCATTTGGAAGATTGCTTAATAAGGCGTGGGGAAAGGCAGCTTCTGCAGAGAATGCAATTGCGGGTTTTAAAGCTACAGGTGTGCACCCCTTCAATCCATCTGCAATACCCGACTACGCGTTTACCCTAGAATTGACAAAGCAAATATCTAAATCTCAAAATGAGTGTACAGCCACTGTTATGGTCGAGGAGCAAGAAGAAAATACTATTAACATAGCTTCTGCTAATCTGGAACCAGTTCCAAATACTTTCGAAGTGCGACAAGACATATCACCTGCAATCGCTGAGCCAAATAGCTCTGTTGGGCGAATAGTTTTAAACGCAAGTCCTGAGATGATTACAAGAAGGCCTAAAAATTATTTGCTACTGCTTCAGCAGCAGTAATTAAAAAAATGTCAGAACAATTCCCTCCAAGAAGCGATTTGCCAGATCTGACTCCAACACGTATTTTAAAGCAAATATCGCCAGTTCCACAAAAAATTATTGAAGTACGCAAACGTGCTAAACAGGTAAGCATGCTTTTAACCTCAGAGAATCACATCAAAACAAGAAAATTTAAGGAAGCGATAAAAAAAATAGGGAACAAAAAAAAATTCGAAAAAGACGTTAAAAAGGAAAGAAAAATTGAGATAAAACCAATAAAACGAGCACCAAGAAAGAGAAAATCATTAAGAAAGTTATCTGAAAGTAGTGATGAGGATGAAGAACTAATATTATGTAGTTCATCTGATGAAGAAGATGGAAACAGAGAATTGGATAACTGTGTAGGTTGTGGAGAAAATTATTACGAAACGCAACTCATCGAAGATTGGATTCAATGCGTTATATGCCAACTGTGGGTACATGAAAATTGCACCGAATTCGATGATAAGTGTTCATCATGTGGACAGAAAAAGAAGAATGAGCTAAGGCTCAAAAACTTAAAGGGAAAAAAGTGATTAAAATGTAAATTAACAAACTGGCCATCTCTCCCTTGCTTCTATGGCCATCTCTACCGGGCACTCCGGGAGAGATGGCCAATCGTGATTTTAAAAAAAAGTAAATTATGAGACTGATTATGTTAAAATGACAAAAAAATGTTGTCATTTTCTTAGAGTTTAATGTTGAAAGTTTAATAAAAAGTTGATTTTTGTTAATTACTCCTTGTAGTTTTTATTTTAATGACTTCTTTAAAAACTATGGCCAACTCCCCCGGACTTACCCTATATATGATGATGCTAAACCCGTTGTGCACCCGTTGTAATGCCACAAATCAATCGAAACTACGCGAAAATAAATTAATATACAATTAATGTGAAAATTTTAAATTAGTTTTAATCACAACTATTTTTCAGGAACTTTATAAGTGTTAAGGGTATTTTTACCATTGAACATTTAGCCTTAAATAATGAATATGAAAAGCATTACGTAACTTTCAATAAATAAACAAATATAACAAATAAAAACGAGCATTAGCAAAATGACACAGTTTTAGTAGGGGATCTCCTATAGTACTTTAGGACATAAAACATTGAAGTCACCGTCTACTGATCGAATAAGAAATTTACGACTTAGGATTTATTGCTACAACATTGTGAGTTCGATATAAACCCATCAATACTTTCTATATCATCAATTAATTCGACACATACCGATACTATAAAGATATAATATTTAATTACAAAAAAAAATAACAAGAGGAGGTCTGTGCACAGCTGTGGGACGTACGTATACTCGTATACATTAATTTTGTTTTTACATTAAATCCGTCCACAAGCCCATTACTGAACATAAGCCTCCCTCAAGGAATGCCATAAAGCACGGTCCTGAGCCACCTGTATCCATAGTATATATGCATGTATATTAGGGTCGATTAAAATGTATGAAGATTAATATTTTGGTTAATTTGGTTTTTTTTTTCATAGCGATAAAAAGCTGTCTTTGTCTGAAAACTTACTTTTTAACCAAACGTTACTTTCTAACGGAAATTAAAGCTATGGTAATTTGGAAATTCAAAAAGTACATCACATAGCATTTCAAAATTTTCAGTGATATCTAGTGCTCAAAAACCATTAAACGTGATCTTGTTTTAAAATCAAAACTTCCGAATTTACGGAAGTACAGTATATGTACTGTTACGAGCTTGAGGTTCGTGACAATAAAAATTGCCGATAGAATTACCAAAATTTTAATTCACTTTACACTAATTATTCTTAAAACACTAATAATTAATCACACTGATTCACTTTATTCCGCTCCGAAGCTTCGCTTGTCTCGCCAAATTCAATACTTCCCCGATCGCATCTTGCAGCGCCTTTAAATACACATTATCACCGAAACATCCAGAATATTCAAGTAAATACGCGCGCCAATCGACTAGGCGCCGAAAGTTCGAGTGTCGGGCTTCTATAAGCTTAGTTCTTCATTTCGATGCTAGATGGCGCTGTCGGTTAAAAGACTAGTGATGTCATTTTCTGGAAAGCTATCCTCGCTCCGTTATCCGACACAGATGGTGCTAGTGCCGGGTTTATGACGTCAACTTAGGCGCGCAACAGTACTATATACAAGCTAAGTATTTCAAGACATATATAGCGCTAAAACATATAAAGCTAAAATAGAGCGGCTTTAATAATGGTTTGAAAGTGTAATGGGCCTGCGACTGACAACTTTTGGCTGCGACGAATCGGTTGCGGCTTCTATTTTATAAACCGCTTTCACCACACAGAATTAATTTTAACAGTGGCAGGAGCTTTTAAAAAAATGACTAAACAAATAAATTAGTAATATTTAGATGTAAAAAATACATTATCACTATTTTTAAAATCTCTTAAAAGATCACCGAAAACATCGCGACCGATAATAGTGTATAAGGCATATTAATAAATTTTAAACATAATTCGGTACTATTGATAAGATTCTGTCTTTATTAAATATTACATAAAGAGAGTTTTATTTAGGTATTCAATTGAATGTCAGTGTTTTTTTTAAAACTACAGCCATACAATTAACTGTTCGATTTAGTCATACAATAACTTGATGAAGTCTCCTGTAGATTGTTTTTTATATGTTTAAATAAAAAATATGGAGTTGTTTTTGGCTTTTTGGCAAACAGCCATTTTCATAATTTGATTTCTAACTCAATGTCGAGGCAAACAAGCCTTTGATTTTCCTGGGATCTATAATAAAATCCAAGAGCCGTGCGTAACAAATGAAAAGAACTAAGATGTTTTTCATCACATCCTTTGTTACACTTTGTGACTTAATCATATTATTCATTTCTACGATTAAATTTTAATAACTTTTCTAATAAGTACATTTTTACGATTAAAAATAGTAATAAATTTTAAAATATTCAACATATCATACTTCTTTTTATAGAATAAGAACAACAAGAGGAATAAAAAACGGCAGTCCATCTGATGGTAAGTGAATGCAATGAAGTGGAAGTCTATGAGCAAATTGGCACCTACCCTCGATTAAGAATCAAAAAGTCTTGCTACCACTGAAGACAGAAATGTAATGCCTAGTTCGACCCTGACTTGCGGCGAGGAACGATAACATCGTAGTTAATAAACCACTAATTTTATTTACTTTCACCTTTATTTCTTTTTAACAACCTTGCACTTAGTGGTCATTAAAATCCAGATAGATTAGTTTTATATTTTCTTTACAGAAGCATTTTACGATGGAGTATAAACAATAAAATTTCTTTTCTCTCTTATTGATTTTACAGCAAAAGTACATGCAATGTTATTTGAATTATAAGTTCACGACAGAAACCTGCATGTATCTGACACAAAAAAATTCTAAGTCATGATTTGTACAAGGGCAGCGCGGCGGGCTCTAAAACCAATTTACAAATTAATATGAGCCTATTTCAAATGAAATGTATACATCGCCCAGCATTGAGACCATAGAAATCGTAATAATATACAGTATGCAATAGAAATGAATTAGCGCTCGACTACTTCCAAAATCGATGTCGGCACATCTTACCGTATTATAAACATACGCTATCTATATAATGATATCTTGTATTTCACATTACATTGCCTGTCAACGTCGCGTGTGTCGCGTATTACGGTAGAACAAAAGCAGCAATGGTAATTGTACAATTACGATTTCTGTGATTGAGACGTATGCAGGCGATTACTTTAATAAAATAAGAATAAACTCACCAGTGAATAAGTACATTGCCATCCCTGAGACGAGCCGCATGTATGAAGTCGTTGCACAAACTGAAATATTGAGTGAGGTTCTGATCCGGGGAGTCCGATGCCATTATACAGAGGTAGTGTTTGTCCTGTGAACACAGATAACTAAAAATTACCAACTTTTCGTCATTAACATTAGGTTAAAATGTGGTTTTAAAAAGTTAAGTTTGGAACGATTAGCGCTTGACCTATCACGAGAGCCGTGGTAGCTCAGGGGCTAAGCGCTCGCTGTAAGTTTCACGAGTACGACAGTACGCGAGCAACCCGGGTTCGATCTCCGCCGGCACCTATGAATCAAACAAGACAAACTATTTACCACGTGCTCGGCGGTAAAGGAAAACATCTTGAGAACCCTTTCAGAAAAGAGAGGAGGCCTGTGCCCAGCAATGGGATGTATATAGGCTGTAACTAAATTAAGTTTGTCCTTGGCAGTGTAGTAGCGAATCCACTATCCCCCACAATCCCGTCGGTACCATAAGATACGATAGAAGGAAATGAAACTGAGGATAAGCAGCAGAATCTATCTGATAACAACTCAAAATAATAAAACATTGCGGTTGCAAATATAATGCTTGGTAAGCTTCCACTTGCAACTATGGCAAATATTGAGATTATACAGATGAGGCCTATGTTCAACTATGGACTTTTTATATGATGTGGCTGCGTGGACATTAGATGAATACGTTATTGTAGCGCGCAATAGCACTAGCGCCGTCTAGTTTCGAGTAGCAGAACTAGAAGAGTCAAGATGCTTCTAGAAATTTCCATGGAAGAACTTTCTAGAACTATCGACACCTAGTCAGTCGGGAGCGCTATGTACTCAAATATTCTAGATGTTTATACAGTAGAAGGTCACAGTCTAAGGCCCTATATGAGGCCGGTATAGACCGCGACCCGAGTCATATTCAGAGTCAGATTGGCGATGCAAGCGAATACTTCGGAGCTATACAACTGCGGACTAAAGTAATCAGTAGTACAATTTCGATTTTGTTATTATTGTGGTTTTAATTTGTAGTTACCTAGTGTTCTTTAATTAAAGTGTCAATTTTTGTTATTCACTCGGCAGTTTTTAATTATCTTGAACCCTAAGCTCGTAGCATTATGAGTGATTGAACACGTTTTTTTAGGAATATAAAGTTTTAGACAAGTTGTTGGTAACTATAAATAGTGGACGCCAACTCATTAGAAGAGCAAGAGCAGTTTTTTTTTTGCGATAAATTATGACTTACGTAACACGTGCTTGTTAATGGAACAAAACATCATGAGAAAGGTTTTTTATGTTTGAGTATTATGTTTAAAATTAAAAACAATTGAAGAACATGTTAAGTTCCGAGTCTTGTCGCACCACAACCCTCTCAGAAGTAATAGAAAACCTATGCGCAGCCATGGAACTAATGTAAAATATGTAGGTAAAGTAAAAGTAAAGTTACAGTATATATACCTCTTACTTGCTGGTCACAGGATTCATCTCATTTTGGGAGACTTATCAAGTAAAAGTAGGCCGTCCGCTCCAGTGCGTTTTGACGGACTTAACATGTCTTATAAATATTTTTATTCCTCAGATATGAAGGTCTTCCCATGTTGTTGTCCTTGTAGACATGTGTCAATCTTCATTTCTCGTGACAGAATCATTCTAGTACATTTCGTCACGCGTACCGTTACATTCGGATCGATCATTCAAATGGATCATTTCGGGCTCCAGTGGTACAGTACCCTACACTAAAAACAATTCATTCGGATCATTCGGGATTCGGTCAGTTTTCAACTCATTCTCAATTCACACCAATCAAGATTTAAAAAGGTTCCGTCAACTGTTTGTGATTGGTTGTACCGGAACATTCAAAATCAGATGAATGAACCATCAATACTTTTAAGTGTACCAGCTCAAACGAACGAATCATTCATGATTGAAACATGTCTATGTCCTTCACAACCGAGCATGTGGTAAATACTACTACTACTACTAGTGGTAAATACTACTATTACTTTACTTAGTCATTATTAGGTTAGTGACGGAGTTGCTATTTTTCCATTACCCGCTTTCAAGTTGAATAACATTTTGAAACTTGGCTGTCATAACACGTCTGAAAAACTTATGCTTTATTTTACGCCATCGTTCTGAGAACATGATGTCTGTATTTCTCCGTAATGGACGTTTTCGGATGAGAAAAACGTATTTTTATGAAATATAATGTTACATATTAGGATGTTCTCTATTATTTTACAGCGCTAAATTGGGCATAGATAAACAGAATTAAGAAATAATTATTAATAATTTGAAATAATTATTTTTAGACCTACAAATGCAAATTGGTTGCCTGGAAGAGATCGCTATGCAGCGATAAAGCCGCTAAATTAAACTTTCTTATTAACTTTATTTTCTAAACTTTCCTTTATCTTTTTGTTTTCAATTTTATTCATTAATTTACACAAAACAATGCTATTGTACACCAAGGAAAATTAACATTAGAAAAATATTCAAATATTGTAGGCAAATAAAGAATTTAAAAAGAGGAAAAAAGATTAATAAGTATTTTTTCTGTGCAGGTTTTGAATGTGTAGTTCAATATCAGTGCTACAACTAAACGCTGAGTCACTGCGCTAACAACGAGATGTCAATATATAATAAATATAATTTAATACTTTTAGTATACTTATAATATACATGTATACTAGCTTGCCAGGCAGACGTTGTTCTGCCCTTTTCGACGACCCTATGTCATGTCCTATTAAAAACAAAAAAACCCCAAGGACCACCAGGATTATAAAATCGGTAAGTTGTTTAGGAGTCCATCGCGGACAAATAACGTGACACGTAATTTATATATTATATATATTAAGATTATACTTAGTACAGCAAAATTATTGTTGGTTAGAGTACTGCGACAAATCTTTAAGGGTACCTTTTCCGTGATCGTTACAGCTACTAAAGAGTCCTAAAATTCCACCGCTGAATATAGGTCTCTTCAACAGGTTTCCAAACAGTATGGATACTTGCTAAGGTGTAGCAGCGTTTGCAGGCTGGTTGGCAACCACAACTTTTTTTCCAGTTGCTATCAGAAAGACGCTGCTGCTCCTGATTTGTTTCCCTCTATTACCTCTTCGACACAGGACGACATTAGGTAGTGGATGTTTTTACACCGCCATTACAGCATAACATGTTGTATGTTATAGCTGATAGTTATCAGCAAACCTTTAAATATAACAATAATTTGTTATAAGTGATGTTGCTGTTATGTTTATCTATAAAAATAAATGAAATTGAAGTGTCAGTTTGTAATGGCAAAATAACAGCTTTTTACTAAATTTATAAGAAAGCATATCCTATATATTTAAACGAGCAATTCTTGTATATATATATATATATATATATATATATATATATATATATATATATATATATATATATATAAATAATCGGAATCTCGGAAACGGCTCCAACGATTTTCATAAAATTTTGTGTGCAGGGAGTTTCGGGGGCAATAAATCGATCTAGCTAGGATTTATTTTTAGAAAATGTCTTTTTGTCCATGTTTTTAGGCAATGAAAAACTGCTACAATATCGTTAGAATAAGAAGGTAAATTTTGACAGTTTATTAATGATTACAAATAGCTTAATTGGTATATTGGGCGGTCACAAAATACCATGGTTCGAGCCCAGACCGACTTTTTAAATATTTTTTTTCAAGTTTCTTTCTTTTTTGAGAAAATCTATTTTTTCGAGCCCTTTTTAAATATTTTTTAAAAACACAAAAAATTAAATTAAACTAATTTCACTCATGATTTTTTATTCAAATAACCAGTTCAGTTTTTTCTATTATGTCGCTAAGATCAAAAAATATTATTCGTATTTCATCAGTATGTAATTTGTATCTAAATATAATTTCCAAAACACACGAATTAAAAAAAAACCGAGCGAAAAATACCGAGCAAAGCTCGGTCAACCGGGTACTAAGGTACTTATAACAAAAAAAAAAATTTTAATTCTGTCTGTCTGTCTGTTGCGGGGAAGAGCTAGTTCTATATAATATAAAAATCAATTGCTGTCCATTAGTCTCAAAAACTCGAAAATGGTTGGAAGGATTTGATGAAAAGTTTTGTGTGTGTTCCAGTTGATCCCTCATCCCGTTGATGGTTTATATTCAAAATTGAACCCGATAGGTGTCGCTGTTTTTGAGATCCAGAAATGATCCGCGCAAAGCCGGGGCGGATCGCTATAGTCTTACAATGATTGACTTGTTAAAACTGAGAAGTTAGTGTCAATTAACTATTGTAAACCGATGAAAGCTATAGAGATTTATTAAATATAAAGTACTGCAACTTAATAGAACTGTGTTAATAGAATAGTGTGTTAACACGCAAAATCGCTTTGGATTTTGTGCTCAATTAAAATCGATTAATACGTATAGTGAGCAAGTATTATAGTTTGAAGTTAAATTAAGTCTCTAGCTCCATTTTCATTATGATTTAGGGCAAGTATTACAGTTTGAAGTTGAATGTTGTTACTAGCTCCAGTTACATAAAGATTTCGTAAAAAACAATACGATTCGTAGTAGCGTAGTAAAATCACACCATGTAGTGGCGAGGTGAGAATTTTCACTAACCTTTATCATCTTATGGGTATCGTAAGACGCGACACCGGGAAACTAAGTCGGAATATGGGCAGCACCATCTTCCTGATAATCCGCCTGTTACTGTGGCAACTATGGCAAAAAAGTATGTTCAGCTGTGGACTTTTATAGGCTGTAATGGATGGATGGATGGTAGTGAAGTTATCGTGTATATATACAGGTCCCATGGCTGGGCACAGGCCTCTTCTCATATCTGATAGGGTTTTGGAGCAATACTGATTTTCTGAGGAAATTTTTCTTTACCGCCGAGCAAGTGGTAAATCAGCTCTTATAATTGAAAATAACAATTTCATTGGCACTTGAATTTAATACGCATTGCTTGCGTTCTGTGAAATTTAGGGCGAGAGCACCTAAGCTACCACGGTCCACGGCTCTTACATAATTCATATATTTTAGCATATTATGTCGGTAGACTATAACAACGTTTTAACAGTTACCCTGTATTGACAGAGCGCAGT